ATTTCCCTCTGGGATCAATAAAGTATTTTTGAATTGAATTTGAATATATTTACCCAGAGGATGAAGTCATTTGACCTCTGGAGCAGCAGGTTTTGAGGTTTTGTTCATTTGTCCGTCCATCACCTATACCCGCTTCTTCCTTTCAGGGTCATGGGGGTCACTGGTGCCCATATCCAGCAGTCACAGTGTGCGGGACAGGGTGCACCCTGGACCAGTCTCAGTCCATCACAGGGACATACAGACAACCATTCACTCTCTCACACCTAGCGACAACCTAACCGTCATGTTTTTGGTCTGTGTGAGGAAGCCGGAGTGCCAGGAGAGAACCCACACATGCACGGAGAAAACATGCGAACTCTACCCAGAAGGGTCCCCGGCCCAGGATTAGAACCGGCAACCTTCTTGCTGAGAGGCATCAGCTCTACCAACTGATGGTTTCAGAGGAGTAAAAGAACTGCTGCTCCTCTGCATTAAAATAAGTCAGATGAGGTGGGTCATCTGGAGGTTTTCTGGGTTTGTCCCACTGGGAGAACTTCCTGTAGGGTTTGTAAATCCTCTCTGGTCCGGGAACGCCTCAGGATCCCCCAGGAGGAGCTGAAGACCACAGAGGAGCAGGAGAAGATGGGCAGTGATGAAGTGGGAGGTTCTTGGTGTGTGGGAAGAGTTTGTCAAAGACATGAGTGGTCTGTTTGATTATTTTGGGTGGGAATTTGAAGAAACCATAACAGTTGGATTAACGCTGGGGGGCCGTGTAGCTTAGTCGAAACGGACAGAAAACGCCTAAATTTTAAATAAAAATATTAATTTTAGYCATAACTTGAGACAGGAATGACGAAATTTGAACACGTGTGGAGAAACGTGTAACATTTTGGATGGTTAAACTCCACCCACACAGCCAAGCCACGCCCACTCTGTACCACAGGGACCCGTACTCGGCACCTTGAAGCTGCCTTTATGCATTCTCTTGTCTTAATTCCTGCAATTCTGCACAAAATGTTTTGTTGTGTTTTTATTTCCAGGCCTACAACAGCGGGAAAACTTTACAGCCCAWATTTGCAATTTAAGACGTGACGAAAACAATAATTTGCTCTTTTCCTTGTCTGTAAAAAGAAAATAAACACCTGCTGTGAGTGTAGCTGTTTTTAAAGTGACCTGCTTGCTTGTTAGATTTAATTATAGGATCAGGAAAGAAAAAGTTGGGGCCGTATCGGCGCTGACTGAAGGATGACAGATGAAGTTTTTCTGAAACGAGCTGTTTTCTGGGATGTACGTCCACTTCTTCTCCTGTTTTTGGTTTCCAGGKTACAGTGAGGTTCTCCTCGGGCCAGGAAGAGCCTCGGGCTCCTGATGAAATATTCATCCTCGCCGTGAGGGGACACGAGGAAAGTTACATGGAAAATTAAAAGGACCAAACAAGGAGAGAAGCTGGGACATGGCCTGAATGACAAACACAGTTACTGAAACAAAACTTTCTCTGTGGATGAARCTGTGAAACACAGGGCCTGAAAACATTCTGCTGCCAGAATTAATCTGTCTGATATCTCCTGTGAAGCTGAAATCGACCAKCAAAAACAAGTTTTCAGGGGCGGTTTAACGCCTCACAGCGGAAACCGGACTCCGTGTTTGCTTCTACTTTCCAGTTTTTGAGTTTTGTCCTCCTGAAAGTCGGCGAAGTTTACATCCAAAACCTGAGCTTTGGAACAGCAGCTTCAGTGTTTGTGTTGGAGGTGTAATTACAGTCGATTCCATTACTCGCTCRTGTAAACAGTGTCTGTTCACTTTGATGTTTCACTGAATTTATTATGTTTTAAGCTTCGGTTTGATGTTTAAGCACAAACCAGTTTTGTGAGGCCACATTACAGAAATCTGTCCTTTAAAAACCAAACAAACAAGCCTCCAGTGGGTATTAAAAAACACTTAAACTGAAGGATCTCCAATATTACTATTATAAAGAAATCATTGATCAATTTAGATTATTTAAAAGTGGTAAAACATTTTTTTATCTAATTTTACCTATAATTACAAACATGTCTTCAGTTTACAGGACAGTCTTTTGAATTCAGTGTTTATTGGGGGGACTTTTATCAATTAGGGATCTTAACATTGACCCAGAATTTGTTAAAATATGGATTTTTTTAACCTAAAAATACATTTTTTAAAAAGCATTTTCTACTTTAAAAGGATTTGGCGGACGTCTGCACTCTTTGAGTAGATGGTAATCTGACAAAATCAAATATTCCCTGTAAAGATGGCTCCTGGCTAAAAATATGTGAAATAAGATTAGTGAGTTTATCATTTTTTTAATATAAATAAAAAAACACAATTTATCGCATGGCCACGAGATTCTTTTTTTAATCCAATGTAACCAGACGGACTCTATAGTGGACTTAAAGTTAATAGAAATAAATTTATTGGAAGCTTTTTGGTCGGCTAATGGTTTACAAAGTTAGCAAAAATGCTAATCTGTTAAACAAGAACTTAGCTTCACTGGTAGCGGTTTGTGTACTAGAAATGTGGCCTCCATTGCAGGACTGTTTAAACAACTTTTTTGTTTGTTTTAATGGAAT